TGCTCAGAGGCCGTGTTTATTGTACAGCTGATAATACCAGAGAGGAATCAGTACAGATGAACAACAGAGGAATTTATTTGGCCCATAATTAGTAGTTATTCCAGGTTCTCGTGCAGCTGTTTCTCCTGTCCTGACTGGGCAGCTTGTTCCCCTCTCCCACCCCTCTCTGTGTACAGTAGAGACTCCCACTCCTGATTTTCAGTCTTAATGTTGCTTTGATTTTTAGTGTTAATTATGAGGAACTTTGAGGTGTCAATATCTAACTGGTCTTTAATGATGACTAACTGTCACTGAGGATGTTGAATATTTTGTATATATGTGGTTCCCTATCTTCACCCTGTCAGTGTGGGACACTCCCTTTAGACTAAAGAGACTCAGTTCCTTCAGGTTGTCAGTTTCACTGTTTTTAAACTAACATCATGCTAGTTCTCTTCAGTGTGGATCACAGTAGATAGTTTGTAAGCAGTTTGAAACTATACAACACACGGATTTCCCAGCCAGGTGTCTGAGTCCCAAACATGTGTTTATGAAATGTGATATTTTAGACTCACTACTGAAGAATCAGGATGGACTGAATGATTTTACAGTTTTTTACATGTATTTTTAAAATAAGGTGGTATAAAGGTTCATACTGAACACAGGAGTCCCATATGTGTCTGAACTGCCACTGGACACTCAGAGTGTTAGTGGGACTCTACAGGGCCCTCCAGAAGTATTGGCGCCCTTGGTAAAGATGAGCAAGGAAGACATTGGAAAAAATGTCTGTGTTATTTATCAGATGAGAGAAATCTAATCTTTCAGTGAGGTTAAATTTTTCTTAGGAAAAAAATCCTGATGAAAAATAAAAAAATATTTTTTATATAAATTGTAAGAATACAGAATTACAATGTTGTAAGAATACAGTTTGATTAACTAACATTAATAGAATTTTTGTATACCACAGAGAATACACAGAAATATAATCTCAATAATCTGTGATTTTCCTCTCTCACAGGGCAGAGACAATAGGAAAGATATAGAGTTGTTTTATCGTAAATTTGAAATGGGATGAGTAGTGAAGATATCTCTGATGAGAACTTTATAATGTAAATAACCTGTGATATTTCTCTCTGACAGGGAGGAGACGGGCTGATTCCCATGAGGCACCACAGCGTCTCTCAGAGATCAGGATCGTGCTGCTGGGGGGACGATGGTCTGGGAAGAGCTCAGCAGGAAACACCATCCTGGGCAGAGAGGAGTTTGTCACTAAGAGAGTAAATGAGGAGTGTGTGAAAAAACAGGGTGAAGTAGCTGGGAGGCAGATCACTGTGGTCGACACTCCAGGCTGGGGTTCCTCTTTTAAAATAAGGGCACATCCACAGCGTGTCAGAGAGGAGGTTGTGCGCAGTGTCTCTCTGTGTCCCCCAGGACCCCACGCTCTCCTCCTGGTGATTAATGTGAACTCATACACAGACTGGAGATCAGTGGACGAACATCTGGAGCTTCTCAGTGAGAGAGTGTGGAGACACACAATAGTGCTGTTCACCTGGGGGGACAGACTGAGAGACACAACCATTGAGCAGCACATTGAGAGAAGAGGGAAGGAGCTCCAGTGTCTGGTGGAGAAGTGTGGGAACAGGTATCATGTTCTCAACAACAGGTACAGGGGCGACCGCACTCAGGTCACAGAGCTGCTGGAGAAGATAGAGGACATGGTGGCAGGAAACTATGGGCTTTACTTCACCACTGACATCAAAGAAATAAATACTGAACAAGAAAAATATATGAAACAAAAGGAGGAGAGACAGAGAGAGACAGAGGAGCTGAGACAGAGGGAGGAGGAGAGACAGAGA